CACACACACTCTCTCTCTCTCTCTCTCTCTCTCACACACACATTCACACACTCACACTCACACACACACTCTCTCTCTCTCGCTCTCTCTCTCACACTGAACTAGTGATGCTTTCTATCTCCTAACATTCACACAAACCTTTCTGCATTTTCCCATATGAATTAACAGATTGTTTATCATGTGCATTCATCTGTTTTCAGTTTTTTGTTCACTCACACCTTTCCTCCAGAACTCGCTGTCATCTCTGGCCTCTGGATTTTCAAACTCGTCTGTATATTCGTTTCCAGAGCCGCTTTCGGATGTGACGGCCCTCATGATGACTGAGTCTGGACCTGCACACACACACATGTTCATGAATGTTCATGCTCAATTCTTCTGCAGGGAATGATGTCACAGCAGAGACGACCTCCTCATATTGAGATGACGGTCTGAGAATGGCTTCAGTCTGGTTTCCAGACCAATGAAACGTGACTGGACAACAGGCAGACGTTCCTCCAGCCAATCACAGGCGAGTCAAGAGCTCAGGCTGAGGTGCTCAGAGCTTCTATTGGTCGAATGCTTTTGCACGATATAAAGTTCAACAAACCTGACCTTTGATTCGCAGCAGAAGATGAAGCTTCGTCACATAACTGTGTGACCACTAGTTAATTAGGTAGTTCATTTTCACCAATGTTAAAGCAGATTCACCTTTATCTGTTTTAATGATGACCAGAATTCAAGAGTATTGAAACTCTAAAGGTTTGACACCGACATAAGTGCTTATTTACCGACCAATAACTCCAGAAAGAGCGTTTGAAAAGCTTTTTTAATACAGAGAAAATAATTAAAAGATAATTTAGCTCCATCACGCAATGACTGCTTAACAAAATGATTTAGACTTTGAGAGAAACTGGCAAAATAAATAAATACATAAATATAAAAGTCCCTGTTATTTTTTCACAGTTTGAAATATTAAAGAACATTTATAGCTTTTGATTCTGTATTTTAGTTCATACATTTCTACCCAAAACACTGAAAACATGTAATGAAACATTAACAACTTTATTAACATCGAAAGTAACTCTAAAACAACAAAAAGGCAGAAATAATATAAGAAGAAGACAAAGTGGTTAACGGATCAGTGTTTCTCACTCGAGGCTCTGGTTTGTTAATCAGATGCATCTGTGACATAAAACAAACTAAACCAGTCTAGAATAGATCAGACTCCGTCTGTCCACCGATTCAGATTATTGCTACAGTATTAATTACTCACAATTCTTTTTGGAAATAAATATTTTTTTTCACTTACCTCCTGCGTGAGAAATGAGATCCTGCTGTGTGTGTCTGTGTGTGTGTGTGAGTGTGAATCTGTACTTTGAGCTTGTGTTTGAATTGAAGAATATTTACTTTGTGTGCAGTAAACATGAGCTGCGAACACAGTACAGATGTGTGTGTGTGTGTGTGTGAGAGTGTGTGTGTCTCTCACATCAAAATCCAGCCACATATTTGTTTAGAGCTGTTTAAACGCTGCTTGTATGTGTGTGTGTGTGAGAGAGAGAGAGAG